GCAGTGCCCTCCCTTAATTGAAGGTGTTCCGCCGCTACTGTCCTGGGTTCACAATAAAAGTGTCGTGTGATACATGTTTTATGTCCATTTTACATGGCAAATGCGATTATGTGTTAGGCGACATTTGGGGCCAGTTTAGGTTACGTTCTGGTGAAGGCCAGGTCAAGGTCAGGTCAATTAGGTGAAAGTTGATATTTTTTTAGTTTTTACATAAAATGGTATCGATTCTTGCACTTGTCACGGGGAGTCTAATGGTGGTCTTGTTTTTGCGAGACCATATCCCACCTTAACATTATATTTGAGAGATAGAAGTTAACCCCACAGGCGGTGGGCCTCCAGGCCACCTTCCACGCGTGGTGGGACTTTATTGCCCCCTTAACGTTTTTCCCAAAAATCTTCTAAATGTCTGTGTATCAAAACAAAACTTTTGCACACAACAGGATGCAAAGTTTGCACACAACAGAAACTTTTGCAAACACCTAGGGTAATGTGTACACAATTTTGGAATATCAAATGTCAGTTAGATCACGGCCATGTCAGAAGTCAGATTTAAGGATCGTGATTTACCATAAGTTGTAATGGGTTGCCAGATAAAGCTTAGATGTTCCTTGGCAAAAAGTAGAGACATTGTACTAACAATACAGTTAGCAAGATATATAGTAATAATACGTGTTGACTTGACCTGACCTGACCTGGCTGCCCTCCTACAGTAACTTTTTAAATAGTCGTCATGGGATCGTTGGAACGAAGGAAAACTGAAGGAATACGATGATGGCTTAGGGATTTTATTCATTCAGCCATCTTATCATATAATGGTTGACTTGACCTGACCTTATCTGGCCTTAAGGATACATTTGGTATTATACTTAAGTATACACCAGTCAAAACTAAAAAACTCTTTGAAAAAAAACATCAACTTAGTAGGTTAGCGTCCTATGTACACAATATTAACCCGCGACCTGGTGGGGGGGGGGCTATTTTTTTGCCCCCTCCAGACTTTTCTGATATATCTCCAGAACCGCTGCGCCGAATCGTCACCAAACTTTCAGTACCCTCCCGACATCAATTTACACATTGTGACCAAAATTTTCCAAAGGCTATGATAGGTTGCCGAATGACGTCAAGTAACATCATGTTTCGCCGTTTTCGAACCCAAAAAGGTTTCGCGGAAGAGCTGTCCGGCCTATAGCTTTGCAAATACAGAAAAATGATAAACATAAAAAAGCTAAAACATAAACACATAAATGACATAAAAGCTGTAGAATTGACAGGGCTACAAAACTGCTATCTCGGATTTTAAAATTCTTGGATTTTGATCCCAAAAATCAAAAAATAGATTTTTTGGATTTAATAGTCGAAAAATCCAAAACGTTTTTTTTGAATTTCGCAAAACCGGAATATATGTGGTAGTCCTTACCGCCTTCTATCCACATACCAAATTTGAGATTGATACCTCTTTTTTTTGGCGAAGTTAAGCGAAAAAACTGTTCAAATTGATGATGTCAAATTTTCAAACTCAATTTTTTAGCAATTCTAGACCCCTAGCGCAAAACAAAGACCACCATTAGACTCCCCCTGACGAGCTGCTCGAATCAATAACCCATTTTATGCAAAACATCAACTTTAAAATTTGACCTTTTTTGGCCTGACCTTGACCTGACCTTCACCAGAAAGTGACCTAAGCCGTACCTGATAGTCTTATAACCACCATTGAGTTTGAAATGAAAAATTGGCCATAAAACATGCATCACACAACCTTAGTAAAGTTGGGTTCATGTGACCTGACCTGTGACCCTTGATGACCTGACCTGTATTGTCAGTGACCTCTAATAGTAACATATCTACACAACTGACGCCCTATCGCTGATTCTCGACAAAATGCGTTTTCCTTGGTGTTATAGCGCATTCCCTAGAAGACCCGTGAACGGTGAAACATTTCATCTTTGACCTGACCTGTGACGTCATCGGTGACCCCGAGGTCAATGAAATTTGATTTCCGTAGACAAATTTGACAGCCTTTCGAACGCCGTTTGAGTTTTTGCGGATCCGTCCAGTAGTTTTCGGAGATACGAGGGGGAATAGTTCCCCCCCCCCCAACCAGGTCGCGTTATAAACAGACCCCACCAGGCGCGGTTAAAGCTGAATGCTCCCAGTGACGTCACTAGGATGCAGTAAGTAGTGGGCGCCATTCCGGCTACGCCCGCTTTAAAATCCAAAGGGTAGGGTGATGGCTCATGCAAATCTTCTGGCACGGGACCCTACAGGAGGGCACTAGCAGGACGCGGGCCCCTGATCCTGACCGGCTGGCCCTACGTAATTGATGGCTGGTCCCCCTCTGTATTCTGATCCCCCGGCAGCTCGGTCCTTAACAGTCCGTGCCCCGGGTATCACAGACCGACGAGCCCCCGAAAGGCCCGTACCCCAGAAGCGCTTGGCACTTGGCTCCGCCTATCGGGCACCTTGATCAGGGCTCCGACAACGCCGGAGCACGGCCTTCGAGGACGGGCCCCAGCAGCACAGGTCGATTCCTTTACTATACCTTTACATTTGACCGATTTACTGTTAACCATTATGCATATAGGAGGCGACACTGGTTATGGAGGTATAGACGATGAATGACTTTTACCGAACTGATACTGTATAGTATCCAAGATCTGTCAAAGGCAAATGCAAACAGGTGTGTAATACATATGTAGACCATCTGGCTGCCCGGGTCCCTGGAAGAACGAGCCACTGCAGGCCTAGTTCCCCGCCAACATGGCCCTTTGAAGGTCAAAGCCCCTCCCCCGAAGACGGGTGGGTCTCTGGTACTTGGGCACTCAACGGCACGGGTCCCCTGATTGGCCGGCTCCCCGAAAGGACCCAGTTCGGGTAACCAGAAGGGTGGGCCCCATGTAGCTAGGACCCCTTTCAGCCCAGGCCTCTAGCAGCACATGGCCCAGAAGCCAGGCGCCCGGTCATCCGGGACCCCTAACCTCGCCTGCAGGTCCTCTTGAGCCACTACTAACTCCTAGAAATACAGGGTCCTTGGTATATCAAGGACCCCCTTCACGTGGTCCCTCACTGTTTGGTCCCAATGGAAAACGGGTCCCTGGCACGAGCACAGGTGACAGGTCCCCTGGACGCCCTGGCCATAGACAAAAACAGATGTCGATCACGTCCCCTGAATTCCGTCCACTGCCCTAACCTGGAGGTCAAGCCCCCCCCCCCCCCCAACCTCTGGAGGTCAAGCCCCCCGGACCTCTGGAGGTCAAGCCCCTCCCCTGAAGGTCAAGCCCCCCCTTGGAAATCGTGTCCTTCCTAAGGAAAATCCTGTATCCGCGCCTAGCTCCTTTAACCAGCGCCCCGCTGGGGATCCTGGATTTCTACGCCCTGCTGGGGGGGGGGGGGGTTGAACACCCCCATTCTAACTCGGCTCCTGGACCACGTAGTGATACGCGGAAGGCGGCGTTCGAAAGCGCGCCAAAAATAATGAGAAAATCACTTCAGTCACTTTTTGGTCAGGTCAAAGGTCAGGTCAAAGGTCAGGTCACCAGAGGTCATTGAAGTCAAAATTTCGCCGATTTTCAGGTCGAATGTCGACAATTTCCAAAATGCCAAAGCATAACTCGGGAAGCAATAGAGCGCCGCGGAAAAGCGCATTCGATAGCCCTATTAGCGCCATTTCTGAGTAATTCTCTCAGATTTGACCTAGCGTCAACGGTTTTGCCTGCAGGGGGCAAAAACTGCCAAAATAGCCTATTTTTTTTTCGGAAACAGTTTTTCTGTAATAACTTTTGACCCAAGCTTTGCACTAGCTTACTTTTACCGGCATCGTGTTCCTCTCGTCAAGCGCATCGAATGAACCATAATTTGACCTTGGAAGGTCAACTTGAAAATTTGACCTCAGGTCAAGGTCATGACCTGACCGGAAAGGGTCATGTTGCATATCAGTCGATCCGTATCGTCGAGCTGAACACATCTAAGGCGTTTTCATCGCCCTATCATGCTTCTATCAAAAGTTATTCGCGAAAAACTGTTAGATACCATTCGTGACCTGAGATGACCTCAAGGGCATAAACAGGGGTCATGGATACCATTTTAATGCTCAGTGTGTCTAAGTTCCTTGTAATTCAGTGTTCGGTAGTGTTTATAATGGCTTTCGTCCAAAAGAGGCGCCTTTCAATTTTCTCCCATTGACTTATGATGGGGAGGTCGCAAAATTGACCTGACCTTAGGTCACCGATATCAAAATTCCGAGATATACATTTTATACATACTACTGATCTTAGGAATCGCTGAAAGTTTCAAAGCGATGGGTCACTCGGTGTAGCTGTGGCAGACATTGAAACTTTTTATGAGGTGAGGTCACTTCAAGTGATTTGGTGACCTGACCTTGAACGACCTTGGTCTGAAATTTTTACATGTGTAGAATTGATGTATGATAAGGTGTGCCAAAAACGGCGGCGATATTCGCGAAAAACCACAGGGGGGAGGGGTGTTCAAACACCCCCCTTGTACATACACAATCACAAGGCACAAATATAGGTACACAGTACACACACGGCAATTAATGATTTTGGTTTTAGGGGCACCCGACTGCCACAATCATTTGGCTCATATGACACGCAATGGGCAGACCAGTCACACGCCCTGGGGAAACCACCCACTGACTTTCGCAGCGTTCAAGAAAACAAAATCGCATCATAAATTGATGTAGAAAGCTCTTATAAAGGATGGAGTCCATCAAAAACCAAACATGGGATAAAGCACAACAAAACAAGCAACGACTGAAAAATTAAACGCTCTTTTAAGTCACAATTGCATGCACCTAAACCCAATAAAAAACACAAGCCGTAGATTTGTTTAGCTAACTGGAATGCATAATGTATGGCTCTTACCGTGGTACTTTGAAGGATCACAGGATTCAGGTTCTGCGCTGGCTCCCACGTAGGCATCCTTTGGAAAAGGAAAGGATGTCAGAAGGCCAGCTTAACAAAAAAAACAAAAAAAAACAATCAAGTAGAAGTGGATTATCTTTGGAAGCTAGATGGCTTCTTTCTCGCGGCGTCGCACCGTAAATGTTCCATGTCACCGGTATCTCGGGATCTTTAGCCCCATTCCCTGCGAGTGGGGAAAGATTCCGTCATCCTCAGGTTTTCAATGGAATCCTCCATGGCAAGACCCCTAGCACAAATGCAAAACACAACCTTCGGCCCGCGACACCCAAACAAGGCGTCGCCCTTAGGTAGTTGAATTATGTCGCGAGTGTGTGCGTGAAATAAAATAATGTGAGTGAATTATTTCAATTCTAAACCCATAAATTTCGACCAGTTAACATGCTAAAGAATGTCTTTTATTCACTACTGGTTAGGCAGAATGCAGTTTCTGTAGTTTTAAAAGGAACCTAATCAATAAAAATAACTGATTTAACGTAAAAGCATATCAATGTCCTTTTCACAATGACGTTTCCAACGGGTTCAGAGGCCTATTCGGTGATTCCCAAACCAAGGAATGAATGACCCTAGCCATCAGACCGATCAATGAATCGTTTTCTTTTTAACCCTAGTGCACACAAAGTGTCGAGGCTACCCGCATCGACACAATATACTGCATATGTTGAAACAGGGGCCAAGAAAGACCATGCTATTACTGCGATAACCACCAGGACATTCCAGCAGGATGACGCAACCAAACGCCCACTTTGAACAACCATGGAAAGAACCAGAAGGCCTGGTCCCTTTATCTCAAGAGCCAGCGGTCCCACCGCATTCCCGGGAATAGATACAAGTACATGATACGATGAAGTCTGCACACCAACGGAATTCATGAGAAAATATGCAAAAACAAAATTGTTTGTCCAATCGGTCACTAAGATATTGAAGGTGTCCCACTTCTCCCGCGTCCCAGTTATCCCCACTCTCCAACGCTTACCTGAAACCTTGCCACTTGATGAGGTACATCATGTTGCCGTCTTTCCACTGGTGGGCTAATATTCTTTCCACAAAATAGAGATCCTGAAAAAATCGATTCCGTCAATTACCTTTTCTTCAATTTAGCTTAACTAATTGGTAAGTTCGCCCCCCCCCCCTCCACGTGTTCCTAATGCACTGTTAGCTTTAGTGTTCAGCCTGCAAAAAGAGGCTGATGATAGGTAATAGTGGCGCGTCGTCTTATCGATATCAGCTATATAAAAGAGAAGTTAAAAACTAATCTTTCAAAATCCGAAATTAAATCGTAATTGTTGATGAAACATTTTGCCTTATTTTGCTCAAGGCAACATTTGGCCATCAATCATAACTTGGCCGTTTTATCTGTAACTTGGCTCATTACTAATTGCTTAGATTATAACCGATTAAGAGCAAGTACGCAGGAGAAATTAAACATTACGTTCAATACAATTTTAGCGTCTCTTTAAATTAATACCACAAGAGATAGTCCCGACCAGACACACAAGTAGGTGCAAGTGAGGCGCCATTGCATATTGTGTAGGCGCTACCTGGCTGCTTCCGCGGGACTTATCCCTTTAATAATGCCCTCAGTAAAAGTTGTATCAGCAAACCAGGTTTGACCCACAGTAAACCTTCATGAAATTGTCTGCTAGCTAAGCATTAACAAAATGAGAAACAATTGTGGTGCTTACGAAATATGAATAATGTCTTTCGCATATGGATACTGAACGAACACTTACCTGAACAGTTTTCGCCACTTTCCTCCTTCGTCCAGAAGTAACAGCTGCTGGTCGCTTCTAAAAAAAAAAGAAATATTACCTCACTTCAATTGACACACCATGATTTAAAAAAAAAATAGAAGGGTTATCATGGTAACACGCAATTCATCATTCATAATTCGGGTAGAAAGGAATGATTAATTCATTTACATGCGCCCCCTTAACCTGCGCCCTGCTGGGGGGGGGGGGGTGTTTGAACACCCCCCTTATGGTTTTTCGCAAATATCTCAAAAACGGCGCTCGTTTTTTGTACGCCTTATCACACATCAATTCTACACATGTTGTGAAAATTTCAGACCAAGGTCATTCAAGGTCAGGTCACCAGGTCACTTGAAGTGACCTCACCTCATAGTTTCAATGTCTGTCATAGCTACACCGAGTGACCGATCGCTTTGAAACTTTCAGAGATTGCTAAGAGCAATAGCATGTACAAAATGCATATTTCAGAATTTTGATATCGATGACCTAAGGTCAGGTCAATTTTGCGACCTCCCCATTATAAGTCAATGGGAGAAAATTGAAATGCGCCTCTTTTGGACGAAAGACATTATAAACACTCCCAAACACTGAATTACAAGTAATTTATACACACTGAACATGAAAATGGTGTCCATGACCCCTGTTTATGCCCTGAGGTCATCTTAGGTCACGAATGGCATCAACAGTTTTTCGCAAATTACTTTTGATAGAGGCATGCTAGAGCGATAAAAACGCCTTAGATGTGTTCAGCTCGACGATACGGATCAACTGATATGCAACATGACACTTTCCGGTCAGGTCATGACCTTGACCTGATGTCAAATTTTCAAGTTGACCTTTCAAGGTCAAGTTATAGTTCATTCGATGCGTCTTGACGAGAGGAACACGATGTCGGTAAAAGTAAGCTCGTACAAGGCTTGGGTAAAAAATCATTGCAGAAAAACTGTTTCCGAAAAAATCGGCTATTTTGCAGTTTTTGCCCCCTGCATGCAAAACCGTTGACGTTAGGTCAAATCTGAGAGAATTATTCAGAAAGGGCGTTAATAGGGCTATCGAATGCGCTTTTCCGCGGCGCTTTACCTCTATTGGTTCCCGAGTTATGCGTTGGCTTCATGGAAATTGTCGACATTCGACCTGGAAATCGGCGAAATTTTGCCTTCAATGACCTCTGGTGACCTGACCTTTGATTTGACCAAAAAATTGACCGTAGTGATTTCGTCATTATTTTTGGCGCTCTTTCGAACGCCGCCTTCCGCGTATCGCTACGTGGCCCAGGAGCCGAGTTAGAAGGGGAGGGGTGTTCAAACACCCCCCCCCCCCCAGCAGGGCGTGGAAATCCAGGACCCCCAGCCGGGCGCGGGTTAATGTAACTCACTCACTCACTCACTCACTCATTCACTCCCACTAATCCGCGCCGAGCCGGGAAGGGGCGTCTGGACCAGTCTGGACGGCCAACCCGTATTTTTTCTGAGCTGAGCGGAAAATTACCGTGCGTAGCGCCGCCAAACTTTGCCTACGTTTTCGGCCGTTCCTCTCAACAAAAGTTAGTTTTACTATCCTGTGTTAGTTAGTTTGTTAGTGTTGGTTACCCTGTGATGATCTACTCGCATCACCTTGAATTTAAAAATCAATTTTCTGTCCTTCACATACGTCTCGAAAGGGAAGGGAAATAATTAACAGCTCAAAGAACAATGGGTCTTTTATACGCGCAACGAAGGAGAATGATGGTTAACCCTACTTCCCCATTCCCACTTTAATTTAAGGACATATTTCTAACTTTTGAGGCAGTGAAACTGCCTCTCACGATTCACAGGCACGGCAGAAGTAACTCAATACAGAATGGTTCTTTCGAAATAAATATTACTTTATTTATTTGGATATGGAGATTGTTAAATGCAGACACATAAAACAGATTGGATGACCCCACATCTTACCTTGCGTACATTAGTACCAGACAGCATCTTGGACTATCAAAGTGGCCTGAACATCCAAGCTACCTGAAAAGAAAGCCTGCATGTAAGATAGCTAACAAGTCACCTGGAAAGAAAGCCTGTATGGTGAGATTTTTCTGTAAGCATTTATCTTTCTTTAGCCGCTTTTAGTAACTAAGGCAGAAAGAAGACAATCTGTATGGCCAACGGGCATGCAGCAGGTGACTCATAATTTTTGTTGCCACTGCAATTTTCCAACAACGAATTGAATTAAAAGGTCAAGAAAAATAGACTTTCAAACAAGGTATTAACGGTTCCTAGTACAATGCACTCTAGAGCTGGCCTTTACTCCTCACTTGAAAACCTTACATTGTTGACCTTCTCAACAACACACTTAGGTATATAGGTACCATTATATTTTATGAGGCAACTGGCATTATGCCTTCAATCGCTACATTTAAATGGCTGAGATGTGTGCAATTTGCAGTGTTATACACAAATGATGCTAAAAGGTCAGTTGTATGGTTGAGTACGGCATGTTGGGCAACTTAAAAAATAAAAAAAACTGGGCAAAGGACACCGCTGTATACAGTATACACCCTTAAACCATATTCCGGGCGGGCTCTGAAAGGTAAGATTCCGGGCAGGCAGGGCAGGCTTATCAGCCCCCCGTTATTTCTCGAAAACCACGCATCGACGCAGCAAACGGCGTTTGATAGGTCGGTCAAAGAGCTACAACTTTTAAATAAAAATGCGTCAGGTCAATATTGAGGTCACCAGAGGTCATAAAAATAAAATGTTATTGAAATAGTAACCTAAGTATAGTAGATAAAACTTTTGAATAAAGACATAAAATTGACACCATTGTGCTTCTCTTGTCGAGGCGATTCGAAACAAATACTTGATGACCTTCATTAAGGCCAATTTAAAACTTGACCTCTGGTGGGGGAGAGGTCATGACCCAATAGGGGCGGGGTTGATACGTCACGTTGTATAGCAAACGACGCGTGACTTGGCAAGGCAAGCAGTTTGGTGCCACTTACATGTCTTTAGCGCCAATTTATCATGGTTTATTGACAAGCAACTATTGATGACCTCGCACGAACTCAGATGACCTTTTCCTGTCTCTGTCAGTAAATGATACCTGGATCGTCATAGATGATTCAATATGTCAAAATCCTGAAAGACTTGAGTGGTTTTGACTCGTTTCCACAAAGCGGTGCGCATTTCAAATTTATCCATAGGCTTGTAATGTAAAGATAATGAATCTGACCTGACCTTACCTCAGGTCATAGATATACAAATTCTGAGATATACAAAATGGACATAACGGTAGGTCATTGGGGGACCCACCCATAAGTTAAGGTCATAAGGCCAAAGTGGGTCTTAATTTCATTAAAGGTGACCCATAAGATAACAAAATGCTAAAACTGAGCTGAAAACCATTTGGGATTGAGAGACTCTTCAAGCTTTGGCCTATTGACAATACACTAAGAGGTCATGACCATAAAATGTCTTTGAATGACCTAGTTAGGCGCGGGAACCGGGGGGGCTAGCGGGGGCTGAGCCCCTCCAACTTTTCGGCTGGGGGGCTCATTATGTATTTGAGCCCCCCCCCCTCCTCACAGCTGGAGGAATCAAAATCGGAAATCTACCAACATAATTTCATAGATTCATACAGAGGCACAGGAACCGGGGGAGGGGGCAGTGAGGGAAGCTTGCCCCCACAACTCTGGGGCCGTGGGAGCAGTGCCCCACAACTTTTCATGAGACCAGGAACTATTAGGGCAGCTTGTCCTCCCCAAATTAGGGGTAAAGTTAGAAGGGCTCAGCCCCCGCTAGCCCCCGGTTCCCGCGCCCGGCGCCACTGCCCAAAACCTACACTTATAAACATGGTGTTTTCCCCTAAACTGGATTCAGATTGGGATCCTGAACACAAGTACATACTTCAAACAGGTTAGTGCACAATGTAGGGCAGCCCTGCATTTTGTTGAATTGATCCGGAGCCAGAGTACCTACATCATTAATTGACCCCGAGGCCTGAGATCTTGTAAAGAAATAGCAAGTAGCGGCTAGCCACATTTCAAGGGTAGTCGTAAAGCAGGCGTAACACTTCTTTTAGCAACCAAGGAGAGGTGCTGTAGGTTAGGTTGTAGGTTGTAGGTTTTAGGTGGTAGGTTTTAGGTTTTAGGTTGTAGGTTTTAGGTTGTAGGTTTTAGGTTGTAGGTTTTAGGTTGTAGGTTGTACTGGTTAGGTCAGGTTTGGTTAGGTTTGGTTAGGTCTATTTTGGTTTGGTTTGATTAGAAAGCATCTCTGGGTATAGTGACCATCCGGCCCCGCTCCTTGGTTGCAAAAAGAAGTTGAAGTGTGACGCCTGCAAGTCCGGCCCAAACAATCGCATGGCAAATCGGTACTCTGCAATACCAGTATCCAACAAATAGATGTCTACAAATAATTTCCACTTACCTCACAGACTTCAAAAAGCTCCCAGCACAAAAAAAAACACAAATTAGTACCACCCAAAGCTTTATCTCTTCCAAATCCCAACACTGACACCGCCACGTGGTGAGCCGTGCCGCGCCGATAACACCGCAACAAAAAACAGTGTTGTTGCAACTACACAAAACTTCATCATACTCTAATTCACGGGTTTCTAAGATACATAATATAATTAATTTATTTTTACACTTTTTTAAAAATAAAACAAACGTCTATTTTGATCGCTTCACATTCCACAGACCACACTATAAATCATATCATGTTACGTTTTTGCTGCATGCCCGCGCTAGCCCGCGCTGATCAAGGCGTGCGTTTCCGAGCTTCAACACAGAGCCAGCCGATGGTGGCGCCGTCTGTGGCAGATATTGGAACTACGAACCATCAAATTTTTTAGTTTAGAGATAGATGGCGCCTAAGGTGGACAATTTTTGAGTCCACCGAAACAGACTTGTTCTTTCGGATACGTTTACGTCCAGCTAAAAGGTGTTCTGTGCGTTTATTTTTACGTGGACTTTTTGGGTCCACCAAAACAGAATGTCCACAGTAAATCAGAAAAAAATCTTGAAAAGTCCACCTAAACCAGAATTTGGAAAGCTACCGCGCTATGTTCTGCGTTGTTTCGCATGTCCCGCTTATGTTCCTTTAATCTAACGTCTAAGCCCCTCCCGGTTTCCCCTATATATGATTTGTCACAAGAACCACAAGGAATCTTATACACTAAACTTTTTTCTTCTCCATTTCTTTTTGTGTGGTTTTTCAGTATATCCCCTACCTTTGTTCCCGAAGAGAAAGCTATTTTAAATCCAGTCCATTTATTTTAAATCCAGGGGCGGAAATTATAGCATTATGTAAAAACAAAGACAATCGGAAGGCGACAGAGGCGGCATTTATAGCAATGAACGAAACGATTAATATTAGGGTGGGTTCGATGAAATGGGCTAAACCAGCGGCGATGTATAGTTTAAAGAAGACGCGTCATTAGTTTGTATAAGTACCTACTTGTTCATGATCGTACTGTATAAATTTGTTGTTATCCATGTGTCATATGTATGTCAGTGATCTATTTTGCTATCATTTTTCGTGGATATTCTCCTACAGGTGGATTAGTAGTGAATATGTCATATGCAAGAAATTTTTAAAATCAAGACGATTGCACTGTGACGAGCTTGAATGTTTGTGTGCTATATCTTGTTTTCTCTGTGATTATGTCATGCTGATGAAGATTTAATAATCGAAACGCGTCCATGCACTATTTGTTCCGTGTTTTTCTACTTGTCTATATCAATATACATTTGTCTGACATGAACACCGGAACAAATAACGCAGAAAAGCATGAATATCTCACAAAAAGAAAGCTCTCAAGCAGTTTCAATCGTCTTAAATTTCTGAATGATTGCATTCTAGAGCAAGTATTGCCGAAATCGGCTCCTCAACAACTTAAGAGTAAAGATCATCCATTTAGCACAACTGCCCGTAGCTTTTTAGAAGAAGCGTGCTCAGAGATAAGGGACAAGATATACATTCTACGAGATGAATTGAAAGGAGTGCCGATATCGACTGAGCTACGAACGAAACTGAAGAACTTCAACGACAAACAGCAGACGAAACTCAAACGAAAACTGAAGACTTTGTGCGACAACAGCCCATGGAAGGAAGCTGGCAATGTAGAAATCGTCACGAACCTATCATCACGAGCACTGAATGACAACGAAAAAGAAGCACTAGCCCTCGGAGTAAAGTTTGATACGGGGAAGGACAAAAATCAATATGTGGATCACGTTCGTCGCAACACTAGATGGAACGATGAAGATGTAGAAAAGGGTTTTATTCAAGGCGTGCTGTTATGCTGTAAAGCTCTAGCTGATAAGGAGGCTGATAAGTTGCCAAGGAGATACATGGAAGCGTTGAGAAGATTAGCCAAGGATTCGTCCGTGATTGTCACCCAGGCAGATAAGGGAGGTGGATTGGTGATTATGGACATCGATGACTACACAAACAAAATGAATGACCTACTCCAAGACACTGAAACATACGAAAAGAAACCTTCGGGATACACGGACAAAATTAGTAAGAAGTTCAATCAAGAAGCAAGACAGGTACTCAAGAAATCCGAAAAAGGGAAAAATCTTCTCCATCTACTAGAAGAGGCGCCTGCTGCACCACGAATGCGCGGTCTCCCGAAGCTACACAAAACGAATGTTCCGATGCGACCGATAACGTCAGGGATCGGCAGTGCTCCACACCGACTCGCGAAGGTCTTGGCCAGGCCTCTTTCAAGCACGTTGGGCACGATCAGTGACGCACATCTCCGCAACACTGAGGATCTCATGGACAAGATCAAGGACATGGACTTATCAGATAAGTTCCTGGCTAGTTTCGATGTGAAGTCTTTGTTTACCAACGTTTCGGTAGACGGTGCGTTAGAGGCAATCAAATCTGTAGTAGCGAATATGGACTCCGAACAGTTACCTGTGCCAAAAGATGACTATTTGAAATTACTTGCAATATGCCTTAACTTTGGGGGATTTCAATTTCAGTCTGATGAGTATAGTCAACATAGGGGACTAGCCATGGGGTCACCACTGAGCCCGGTGGCGGCATGTTTGTACATGGAGTGGCTCGAAAAGCACCATTATCAGGGCATCATGGGCAGTAACGTAATTTGGTTGCGTTATGTTGACGATATTCTCGTAGTAGTGCCAAAAGAAACGAACTTAGAGGACAAACTTGATAGACTTAACTCGGTAGAGGAAAAGATTCAGTTTACACTTGAGAAAGAAAGCAACGGGACGATTGCTTTTCTTGATACTGTGATCATACGTGGGAGTCAGCCAAAATTTAAAGTGTATCGAAAGCCTACAAACAAAGAGTCGTACGTACATTTCTATTCTGGACACAATGATCGGGTTAAAAGTGGGATAGTGTTGGGGTTTTTCCTTAGAGCGTATCGCATTTGTAGTGAAGAGTTTATAGATGAAGAGATTCAGCACATCATGGCATCGTTCACGAAATTAAAGTACCCCAAAGGATTTCTAGTCAACTTGAAAAGAAAAGCTATCAATATTCGAAAGCGAAGCGCGACAACAAAGACGAAGAAAACCGAACGATATATAACACTTCCCAATTCGAAACCAGCCGAGATGATAGCGAAACAGATTGAAATGACTGGATTTAAAATAGCTTTCTCTTCGGGAACAAAGGTAGGGGATATACTGAAAAACCACACAAAAAGAAATGGAGAAGAAAAAAGTTTAGTGTATAAGATTCCTTGTGGTTCTTGTGACAAATCATATATAGGGGAAACCGGGAGGGGCTTAGACGTTAGATTAAAGGAACATAAGCGGGACATGCGAAACAACGCAGAACATAGCGCGGTAGTAATTCATGCTCAGAAAACACATCATTTACCAAGATGGGGCGGGGCGGAAATTATAGCATTATGTAAAAACAAAGACAATCGGAAGGCGACAGAGGCGGCATTTATAGCAATGAACGAAACGATTAATATTAGGGTGGGTTCGATGAAATGGGCTAAACCAGCGGCGATGTATAGTTTAAAGAAGACGCGTCATTAGTTTGTATAAGTACCTACTTGTTCATGATCGTACTGTATAAATTTGTTGTTATCCATGTGTCATATGTATGTCAGTGATCTATTTTGCTATCATTTTTCGTGGATATTCTCCTACAGGTGGATTAGTAGTGAATATGTCATATGCAAGAAATTTTTAAAATCAAGACGATTGCACTGTGACGAGCTTGAATGTTTGTGTGCTATATCTTGTTTTCTCTGTGATTATGTCATGCTGATGAAGATTTAATAATCGAAACGCGTCCATGCACTATTTGTTCCGTGTTTTTCAGACATGTCTTTAGACGCCCAAAGTACACCTACACATCTTACACCAAGAACAGGTGACACATAACCTCACCGTTACCTTCGTTCACGGCACTAACTATGGTCAGGTGACAAAGTGACCAATAGCCGCACAGGCCGACCTTTTACGGCCAGGTCATTGTGTCCGCGCTGCGCGCCGGTTTCATTAGTTTAGGGCCCAACAATGGTCTCATTGTCGGGCTGGGCCGGCGGCCCGTACCGCAGAGCGTCCACTGTGCGGCGCGCGCGCAGAGCGCGATCTTGGAGCAATCGCCGAATTAAATGACGGCGTGCTAATTGTTGTCTGTTATCACGGCTGTTATAACTTTTCATAAGTTTGTGGGCAGGTGCACATCGTGACAGATATATGACAGCGAAACGGCCCAACAAGTTTATATAGCCATTGTGTGCCGCGGACCGATGGTGGAACTGCACCCACAGTTTTACAATACACAACCATATCCCGCGCCCGGCTGGGGGTCCTGGATTTCCACGCCCTGCTGGGGGGGGGGGGGGTGTTTGAACACCCCCCCCCTTCTAACTCGGCTCCTGGGCCACGTAGCGATACGCGGAAGACGGCGTTCGAAAGAGCCTCAAAAATAATGACGAAATCACTTCGGTCAATCTTTTGGTCAAGTCAAAGGTCAGGTCACCAGAGGTCATTGAAGGCAAAATTTCGCCGATTTCCAGGTCGAATGTCGAAAATTTCCAAGAAGCCAACGCATAACTCGGGAACCAATAGAGCTACAGCGCCGCGGAAAAGCGCATTCGATAGCCCTATTAACGCCCTCTCTGAGTAATTCTCTCAGATTTGACCTAACGTCAACGGTTTTGCCTGCAGGGGGCAAAAACTGCAAAAATAGCCGATTTTTTCGGAAACAGTTTTTCTGCAATAACTTTTGACCCAAGCCTTGTACGAGCTTACTTTTACCGGCATCGTGTTCCTCTCGTCAAGACGCATCGAATGAACTATAACTTGACCTTGAAAGGTCAACTTGAAAATTTGACCTCAGGTCAAGGTCATGACCTGACCGGAAAGGGTCATGTTGCATATCAGTCGATCCGTATCGTCGAGCTGAACACAGCTAAGGTGTTTTCATCGCTCTAGCATGCCTCTATCAAAAGTTATTTGCGAAAAACTGTTAGATACCATTCGTGACCTAAGATGACCTCAGGGCATAAACAGGGGTCACGGACATTATTTTCATGTTCAGTGTGTCTAAACCACTTGTAATTCAGTGTTTAGGAGTGTTTATAATGTCTTCCGTCCAAAAGAGACGCATTTCAATTTTCTCCCATTGACTTATAATGGGGAGGTCGCAAAATTGACCTGACCTTAGGTTATCGATATCAAAATTCTGAGATATACATTTTGTACATGCTATTGCTCTTAGCAATCGCTGAAAGTTTCAAAGCGATCGGTCACTCGGTGTAGCTATGACAGACATTGAAACTTTTTATGAGGTGAGGTCACTTCAAGTGACCTGGTGACCTGACCTTGAATGACCTTGGTCTGAAATTTTCACAACATGTGTAGGATTGATGCATGATAAGGTGTATTAAAAACGGAGGCGTTCCGCGCCGCCGTTTTTGAGATATTTGCGAAAAACCACAAGGGGGGGGGGGTGTTCAAACACCCCCCAGCAGGGCGCGGGTTAATACAGTTAAACAGGTAGTTAATGAATTCACTAACTC